AAAGAAATCTCAAGTCAATAAGTAAGAAGAAGGAAAGACACGGGGATGTGTCGGGGTGTGCTAATCCCACCTGCCCGACCTTCTCTTGGGGCATCAACATTCGGCAGAGGTGCCAACCCCACATCTCTGCACGTTCAGCCCTTCAGATGTGAGCAAAATGGACTTGAAAGGGCAGGCAGAGCTCCTGTGTGGTGGCTGTGGGAAGGGATGTGGGTGAGACGGAGGCTTCTTCCCCGTTTGGTTTCTGCACTGGAGCTGACTGGGCTCGTTGAGGAGCCCTTCACTTCCAGCACTTGTATTGCACTTCAACATCAGGAAACTTTCATCTGTTGGGTCTCGTCAGGTTTTGTAATTGCAAAATGAATGCGGAGTGAGGAAAAAGGGCAGACATGGGGGAAACAGGAGCAAAAATGCCATTCGCTGCTGCTTTGTGATGGTGGGGGATTGAATTCGGCTGCTTGCGCCGAGCGTCGCTTTGAAAGCGCTCTGTGCAATACAACAAGTGGTGATTGCTGAGGTCAATGCCATCGGGAATTACTTTGTTTCCTTGGAAAAAGAACTGTATAAAAAGGAGAGAAAGTATTCTCAAAGCCTGTTTGGTGTGCGAAGAGTGTGTGTGTAAAGCCGCGCTCGCAACGAACTCCGCAAATCTCCTTAAATATTTGTAGTTTGCTAAGGAATTAAAGCAAGAGTTGCAGTAATTGGGGATGGGTTTATCATCGGGGGAAACGTCTCCAAGCTCCGTGCTGGTTGTTTTTGTTCTGCTGAAATGCCTCTTGGTGAGAGTGCCTCCATTTCTCTAAATCAATAGAAAAAAAATATATATCCAAAGGATTTATCTTAGCCTTTCCAATGGCTCAACGAGCAAAACGCTTTGTTTTATCTGTGTGATAACTCGTTATGCTGAGCATTTTAGAACTACGTAATGAGCTTTTAAGACAAAAGTCCAAAAGAGAAGTGAGGAGTGTGGAGGTTCATTGTGTGTGCCCAGCGCTGCTTTTAGGGCTCTCCAAAGCTGCAGATAGATCTGTAAAGCCAAAAGCCAAGAGGTGATTTTGCTGAAGAAACACTGCTTGCAAAGAGGATACGAGAGGTGGCTGATAGATGTGTGAGGGTTGGGTTGTATTTTTTTTTTATTAATACAGAGCAACGAAAAGTTGCCGGAATTACCCGTGAGTGGGACGCGATTTTCTCCTTCCATAGAAACAAACGGGGTTTCTGACAGCGGCAGCGCTCATCCCGCGGAGATCTGCCCGTAAATCAGCTCCGAGGCTGCGAAACTGCGCCGGGACGGAGCGCACCGAACGGCCGCCTATAGAAGAACCCATCGCAGCGGGTTGGAGCTCACCGCTCCGTCCTGCACAGTACGGCCCGGGGGGAGCTGAGCTGAGCTGGGAGGGCTGAGTTGGGGGCCCAAGACTCGGGCAAAGCGGCACCGCGGGGCTGAGGGCCGGGGCCCCAGGGTTGAGCTTCCCCACGCTGTTTGAGTTTTTAATTTCTTCGAGCTAATTGCAAGCTTGGAAAAGGGGAGGTGGGGGGGGGAGAGAAGCGGAGAGGGGGTGGAAGGAAAAGCCAGCCCTAATCTGGAAGCTTTCCAGTTTTTGCACCAAAAAAAAAAAAAAAAAAAAAAAAAAGGAAAAAGAAAGAAAAGCACACACCCCGGTATCTTAAAATAGAGAGCAGGGAGGAGAGAGGAGCGCAGGGATCCTCCCAGCCGGGCGCAGGGTAACAATGGTGCTCGGCGGGGAGCAGCGGGCGCCCTGATTGACAGCCGGAGCGTCCTAAAAAGGCCGCGGGGAGATGCTTATCGGCACGGTTATATAGCGGGGCAGCGGCGCTGCGAGTCGAGGGAGCGCCGCCGAACCGAGCCGAGCCCAGCATAGCCCAGCGTAGCCCAGCATAGCCCAGCATAGCCCAGCGCTGCGGAGCGCGGACCGAGCGCGGGGGCAGCGCCCGCAGGAGGAGCTCGGGCGGCTCCGCGCCCCATCCATGAGCGGCCGCCCGCCGCCCTGGCAGCCCCGCGCAGCCCCGCGGCCCCGGGGCCGGCCATGCACTGCCCGCCGCAGCCCCGGCTCGCCAAGGCAGGCAGGAGGCGCTACAAGACTTTCATGATCGACGAAATCCTCTCCAAGGAGACGTGCGATTACTTCGAGAAACTTTCTCTCTATTCCGTCTGTCCGTCCCTCCTGGTCCGGCCCAAGCCGCTGCACTCCTGCGCGGGTAAGGAGGGCTGGGGAGGGTTGGGGCGGGGATCGCTGAGCATCGCTGGGACCAAACTGTGCCCCCCGGGGCCGATCCCATCGGGAGAGCGGCTCCCGGTGAGGGGGGGATGCGGAGGGAGCGTCCCGACCTCGCTGTGCGGCGGCTGATTTTAGTACATGGCAGTGAGCAGGATGGGATCTCGACCGCAGGTGTTTCACAAATGGATCGGTCTGACGTGAGCTCTGAAAGATCCACGTGCGCAGTAAAAATGTCGTCCCTGTCACGCGTTCCAATTTTAAACAAAAAGAGCCCATTTTCTGGCAGGGCAGATAGTTTCTGCAGTTATATTCTTCCCGTAGTGCCACCCTTGTGGCACCCAATGGAGCAGATGGTGAAGCTGGGACTTAGCAATACGTGACTAAAAAATCCGTAACTATTCAAGAACAATCTTTAAAAGCTTAATTTTTGGTAACGTATCAGGGCCAAAATTTTGTTTTTCCTTGCGCTGAAAAAATGCACTTTGCGTTTGCGTGTTTAAAAATTCAAGTCCTACTTTGGCTCTTTTATTTCCTTCCTCCTTCAGTGCTCTGTTGAATTTAAATAAGAGGGATCTCTCCAGGTCCCAGCACTTAATGTGCCAATATAAAACTTGCTGTTGGGTTACACAGAGTTTGATCAGCGCAGTAATCCCCTGGTCTTTCTCCAACCTCAATATTTATTTTGCAAATGTAATTAACTGAAGATCCCAAATTGATTGGGAGGTCTGAAGTTACATGAGTAGTGTCATCTTCGTTCCAAATTTATTTCTTCCTATTGAGTTGCAGCGGCACGCATTGCCTCCCCGAACCGAGCGCGCCATGCTGCCCTGTGAGGAGACCTGGTTGTTAATCAGGATGTTGTTAACGAGGGGGGTTTTGAGCGCTGATCCCTTGCTGCTGCATGGACAGCAAAGTCCTGTGCTTGGCCAAAAGAGGCACAGAGGGCTCAGATGGGGGGGTAAGCCCAGTTCTGCCTTTGCTGGGGTCAATGGCGCGGCTGCACAGATCTGCAGGGAGGAGATCCCTGTCTCCTCCTTCTGCCTCTGCTGTATGGAAAGCCTTAGAGAAGAAAGCAGCCCTTAGCACCCAGAAGGAACATGAGTATTCACCCAGAATCATGCCTGACCAGGTCAGGACCAAAAAGGCTGCACTGTGAATGTGCCCTTCAGCCAAAGAGATCATTGGGGTTTGCAGTGGGTGGGTGCTTCCAGCAGCTGTTCTAACGCACCCCTCTGGGGGAGGGGGGGGGGAATAAACTTTATGATTATGTGTTTCTGTGATATAGCAAATACCAGAGAATAATATTTATTCATTAAATGGTCATTAATAATTCTCAGATGATTCAACTGTGGGTTCTGAGCTCTGCAGTTAAAGCCGTGCTTCGCTTTGTGCCTGGGACTGTTAATGAATTTGCCCTCAAGTTTGTGTTTTCAGCCCCAGCTCTGGGCTGCCCCATAGCAGTGATGTCAGCTGGTCTGCAGCTCTGCCTCATGGAGCTGCAGGGATTGGGAATTGCAGGGCAGAGATTTGGTGGTGGGATTAAAACCGTGCAAGGAACGGCTGCAAAAGTCCATGCTTCCAAACGGTGAGCCTCCCAAGGAGGGTAGGTGCTACTGAACAGCAAGTGGTAGCGAATGGGATTTCTGTTATTGTCTTAGAAATGAAGCAGAGCACAGAAACAACTACATCTGATAAATACCCACCACAAATCTGTTTGAAAAACTAAACTGCAAAGCGACCAAAGCCTGAAGAAATGCACGATGGCACTGAACTTCTGCCCGTGCTTCCTTTATTGAGGTGAGCAGGAAAGCAGTGAGCACAGATTTTCACTGCGGCCTGAAATAATTTCAGTAAAGTTTTGCAGCACTTTCTTGAGCTGAAGAGTGAATTGCTCTTTCATCCTGGGTGAATTTGGAGCCCTCTGATATGCTTTATAGTTTCCTCGAAGCTGAAAGATATAAGACGTTCAGCACGCGCGTTTAATGACATCTGTTAGGAGAAGAGAGCTGAACAAAATTGCTGAGCAGATGGAAAATACTTTCAGTTTTGGCTGTGGTGGAAGTTGAGATATTTACGTGTGTGTAGATTTTAGTTGGAAGGAGATTCAGGGTTGATGGAAGGCTCGCTGCTCCCGTTGGGAAGATTCCCATTGCGAGGAGCTCAAAGTGAGCCCCCAGCAGACCCAGAGTTTGGAAAGAAAAATGTGATTTCCCCTGTAAGGGATCAGCACTTAGCTTGAATTTGGTGTAACTGTGGTATTTTCTGGGCCACAGAAATAGAAAAGCTGTACTTACACCAAATCTTACAAACTACACGGCCAGGTTCGCAGCCATCAGGGCTGATAAATGATTAGGTATTCTGAGGGGAAGTATTTTCAGGTGGTGGTTAACATCTCTTTCACTGATGAATTGGATAGTGAAAATATCATTCTCTTTTATGATATTTAATTACTTATTGGTTTTTCACAGAATAAACAGGGCAAGTAATGGCCGCAGGCTCCATGCATGCCACGCTGGGCTTCTTGTCCTGAATTCTGGAGGCTGAGAAACTCCAACTCCGACTTCCATAGTAATCACTTTTTAAATCATCTTTTTTTATTAATGTAAATCGTTTTTTGGCTTCGAGTGCCTAAAACATTTCTCAGGAGGCTCTGTACCCGTTCTGCTTTGTTCCCCCTATTTTTAAGTCGCGGCTCAGTGTGAGGTTCCAAATCCAGCTGCCTTATTTGTGGCTGCCGATGTGATAAAGAATCCAAGGGCTCTTCAGTGAGTGGTGCTGGAAGATCCAACTGGAAAAGTGCCGTATCTGAAAACATAACTCAAATCCATTGAAAAATACAAGGGTGTCCATGGTGGGTGGGGGGAGCTGCCGCTGTCCCAGGCGATTCGGGGCATCATCTGTTAATGGTGAGCAGTGCTGGTTCAGAAAGTCCTTCGTAAACCATCCATGTGAGTTGAGGTGTTGGATTTGGAAAGAATCACGCTGTCCTTTCCAAGGGGGCTTGCTTCAAAACTGCAGGTTGTTTGAGCAAAGCTGGCAGCGCCGATTATTGGTTGTGTATTATTGCTGCGGTCTGTTGTATGTGATTTGTTGTATATTATTTGTTGTTAATTATTAATTGTATATTATTAGTTGTGTGCGCTCTGTGGGGGGCTCAGAAAGAAACACAAATTTGCAGGTATCTCAGTGTGTCGCTTCATTTAAATGATTATTTGGGGTATTTTTTGTGTGTGGGGGAGAAGAAGTGGGGAAAGTAAGACCTTGTTTTCTGTTTGTACGCTCAGGGTTTTAATGGATGTAACACAGAATTGCTCTAAACTCGAAATTTTATTTTCCAGTTCTTCTGTTTTTTAATATCTTTATTTTTTTTAATGTTGGGGTAAAAGTGGGAACTGCTGATCCCGAAGATTTTTGAGCTGTCATTATATGGACATATTTGAGTTCTTTCAGTGCTTTGGACTAAATGAAGTGGCACAGTGAACACGGTGGGAAATCATTGCTGGAGCAGCAAAGCGCGAGCTTTGGCATTCCTGATTTCTGATCAGTCTTGGCAACCTGGTGAGGAATTCATAGTGGGAAAGTAGATTTACTGCGTCCTGAAACAGCTCAGTTTCTGTACAAGTGACCTCACAACACTGAGAGATTCTGTTCAGCATGGCCTTGATATGGCCGAGGGTTGGATTTGCTCTGAGACATTGCATAGGGCTGGGGTGGAAGCCGCTTCTCTTGGTGAAATACTTTGCTGACCCTTTTTTTCTTCAGATTGAACGGATATTGTTACGGAGCTCCTGGGGGAGAGCTGGGAAAGGAGAAGGGATCGGTGCAGAATGCGTCCCAGTGCGGGGAAAAATGAGATGCCAGCCACTCTGAGTGCATTGCATGAAACGTAGCAGCTGGATTCATCATTTACAGCAATGCAGAGCAGTGGTGAACCTTATGCCAGGCCAGCTCACACCTGAGCAAAGCCAAACTTTGGGTTGCTGCATCCCATCTGGATCCCAACCGTTGGAATAGGTTCTGTATTGTGCTGTGTGCCCTGCGTGCTGACCTGAACATCCTGTTTCTGTGCCTGTGATGGCAGGAGCTGGGCTGTGAGGGAGATCCATGTCCCCATAGGCTTTGCTGTGGGGATGCACACGGTGCTGTGCTGACCCAAAGCACGGAGCTGCCAGCATCTGTGTGCATCCAGTGCTGCTGCAGTGCTGATGGTGTGGGAGTTATTTCTGGGTTTTATGTGAAGGCACAGGCACAGAAACAGGATGTTCAGGTCAGCACGCA